ATGCCAGGCCCAGGCTCCCTGCTCTTCTGTCTGTGGATTGGAATGCAGAATTCTCAGCTACTTCTCCAGAACCACATCTCTGTGCATGCCACCATGCTTCCCACCATGATGACTGTCAGAACACAGTCTGTGAATGAAGCTATGTGAGAAATCTGATTACTCTTGAGAAAACTTAAAGACAACAGAATGTGACCTCAGTGCTCCAAAACACAGAATTGTTCTTGGAATGTGCTTTCATGACCCTTCCGCCTACCACAGGTGTAGTAAATAGAAGTAGGTTTACTTTTTGTCACCCATCATCTTACTATTATTCAGATGATGTTTCCAAGCAGGGGGTTGTCATTGTGAGGACATACAGCTTGAACTCATGTTAACTGTGCTCAGCTCAGATGACTTCGCTTAACCCTCAGAATATAAATTGTCTGATCCTCCAAATAAAGTTAACTTTTGCACGAGACTTTAGCATGCCTCATTTTAAGGCTCCATTCTCCTAGGTTCACAGTATCAACAAGAGCAGTAACAGATGATAATGGACTAAACCTCTGAAACTATAAGACAGCCCTATTAAGGCTTTTAAAAAAAAAAACCTAAGAGTTGGCTTGGTCATGCTGTCTCTTCACAGTAATAGAACAGTGACTAAGACAGGAATGCACTATTCTTGCAAGGGAGCCAAGGCTTGAAAGCACCTACAACTCCCCTTCTGGACTTCACAGGCACCTTCTCCCATGTGTGTGTGCATGCGTGCAAGTGTGTGTGTGTGTGTACACACACACACTGTTCTGCCCAGTTCACGAACCCCAAAAGGCCAGGAATAAACAGACTCTGCTGTAAATGCATGAGGTTTTTTTTTATTATTATTATAAATCATTACAAGCTGCAGCTTGGGCTCACACCCCCCCCACCCGACAGCTGAAGCCGTGAGAGCTGAGGGCCCCATGTTCAGGTTAGTTGGGTGATTTAAAGATTCTGGTCCCTCCCAGCATGCCCAAGGCAGGGGCAATTCCAGCCTGGCAAGCATCTATTGGTCAAAATGCTACATTTTTAATTGATTGGCTATAGAAAGGTCCCCAGACCATTAATGACCTGGTGTCCCTCCCTAGGGGGATGGGCCAGTTCCCTAGTAACTGTTATCTCTAGTGGGTGGGGAAAGAATGCAACAAAGCGGTTCTTCCCCTCAGGGCATTACTGGACTTCTCCACCCACCTAGTTCAGGCCTTAAATAATAGCTGCTAATTTTTATTCTTTTGGTCTCTCAACACATAATGAAAAACTTAAAATATTTTTCTCTAAATAAATAAATAAATAAGCCAGGCCTGGTGGTACACGCCTCATTCCCAGCACTCAGAAAGCAAGAAAGACAGATCTCTGTGAATTCGAGGCCAGCCTGGTCTGCAAAGAGAGTTCAGGACAGCCAGACTCTACTTTTAAGATGGCTTCACTCACACAGCTCTTAACAGAAACAATACAAAACTAAACAAGTCTCCTAATTTATTCTGGATTCTTTCCCCACTCTTTGACATTAGGGCTCAAACACAGGACTTTACACATGCTAGGCAAATACTACCACTATGCTAACATCTCACCAGCATGCCTCCCTCACCCCAACACTTTAGTTTGAGACAAAGTCTCACTATTTTGTGGAGGCTGGCTTTAAACCAAGCCCAGGCTACCTTCAGAATTCATGAGTCTCTTGCCTCAGTCTCCAAGTAGCTGATTTTTCAGGCACATGCCATCATATCTGGCTTAACTGAATACTTTGGATTAGCTATATGATACAGGAAATAGGCCTATTTTAAAAACAGTTTCTCTATTCTATGAAACCATAGCATAAATTAGTACGAAAGCTGGTGGCTTGTCTCCAGCAAATTTCTTTATTTAAACCAAGTAGCCAGAATCTATATCAGCTCAAAGAAATTTGCTACTAATATTTTTCATTCGTAGCATATGACTGAACTGTAACATGCTTTAAGGTTTGTTACTTCATTGTTCTACTTTTATTAAAGACATTGAGAATATATCTGTCAATCTATCATTATGTGTTTTTATATTTTCATTACAAGTGGGATACTAGCAAGAAAAAGGTGAGTTGGCAGACCAGTTGTGTAAGAACAGTGATGTTCATCATTATACAATTGTTGCTTGTTTCTCATACTGTTGTTACCCATTTCCTGTCTGCCTTTGTGACTACTTTGCCTTCCATACCTGCTTTTCAAACTGTGGTACAGATTAAAAGCCTTACAATGGCAACAAGAACAACAGTGAGACATCAGTGTTTCTAAGATATTAATTAAAAAAATAAGAAAGCATTTATTTTTCTGTGTGTGATTCTTTGATTATATGTATGTATGTAGGTAGGTATTTATGTATGTGTACTATGTGTATGGCCTGGTACCTGCAGAAGCCAGGAGAGGCCATTAGATCCCTTTGAACAAGTCTGAGCTGGAATATCGGTGCTGTGGATGGAACTCTGGTCTTCTGTAAGAGCAGCAATTTTTCCAGCCTAGTTAAAAAAAGTGAGCTAGAGACACACATGAATACTAAAGACAAATACTCTGTCTTTAACAGAGCTTCTGTGACTTTAGAACTAAGATATGTTAGCTAAGTAATGAGATATTTCCCACTTTAGATATTATCTGCACTGGAGTCTATGGGGTTCATTGCTCAGGATTTCTTTTCTAAGAAAATGCTTCGTAGTCTCATGAATGGTCACTTATGCAAACATTTATATAAATAGATTGTGACTCAGCACCTGGCCATGGATCTGTGTAAGGGAATTCCTGGTAAGTAAATAAGATCTTCTCATAATTGACTAGTCTAGGGGAAATGATGATGTGCACAACAGGTATTATATGAGAGAGGTTTATTGGGTGAAGATGGAGAGAGAGAGACAAGATGGGGGATGGGAGAGGGTACCCTGCACCTGCCAGGTGTGGCTACCTGGTGGGTGACACATGATGATATCATAGGTTGCTAGGCAACCCAGAAGCAGGCTGCCTAAATGGTAACATTCTTCCCTTTTCTGGTAATTAAGAAATGAGGAACTTGAACTGCTTCTCATGTAAGGCAAGTTAAAGTATGTAAATGTAGGTTCATTGGAAGCAGCTCTTGTTTGGCATGCAAGGGGTAAGAGAGAGAGGAAAAAAGTAACAGCAATAAAATTTCCAAATTACATGGTGAGGAGGAAGGGAAGACCCTGCCCAGAAATGTTCAGGATAGAGGGTAGATACTGCAGGCACATACTGCAGCAGATATGAACTGAGGAATTCTGGGAAAGCCTGGAGCTGTTTGTCCTGGGCCTGAAGCACTCCATTCCAGCTTTTTGTTAATAATAAGTGAATAACAGGTGGAGATTCTTTTCTGGTTACTTCCTGCTGACACTGGGGCTACTGTAGGGTGGTCAAAAGGCTGAAATATTGGCCATGTCCAGGAAGAGTAGGATGTTTTGATGCTGACCAGGGTCTGTGAGAACATTCGTTGCTGGGACAGAAAGTGCAGGTCCAGCTTGAGGGAAGTCTGTGAGGTCAGACTCGAACACCTGTGGTAGCTGCTTTGGCACTGTTGTGGACGTAGGAAACACCTGGATCTGGCAGGATACTGGCAGAAGACAAGGATAAGTCTGTTATGGAGAAAATTTCTTTAGGTGTACATTTAAGACTTTTGGGAGAGCGAACAGAGGTGGAAGGTTTGGATCAAAGAATAGACTTGAACAAGGGAACCTCCATTTACCCAATCTCTGACAGTAATTAAGAAGGCTTTGCTTTGGATCTGTCATCTAAAGAAATTGAGGCCAAGTTTGGTTACAGAGGTGTGCAACATTAGAGGCCCTTAAAGTGGGCACTAAGTGTAGAAATCTGAAATTCTCCAGAAGAAATCCCAGAGGAGAATCTGCAGCAACGGACGAATGGACTATTCCTTTTGGGCAAGTAGGAGTCAGTGACCTGTCAAGGTGTCCCAAGAGAAAGGTTTGACTCAGTAGATTAGTATGGTACAACCTGTTCCAAAAGCTTGTCAGTGTTGGCCAGAGACCAAGGGCACAGTTGCTGTAGCAGACATGGTTTACCTAGCCAGGATTCTGTAGACATTCGAGAAGGGGAGGAAGCAAAATGGTGCTAGTAGAGAGAAAATCTCACCCAGGAGAGAAGATGGTCTTAGATGAAGGGTTTGGATGTAGGTTGGCGAGAGCATTAGGATGTATTTGTGCCAATCAAAAGTGAAGACTCACCTATAGGCTGGTGTTGGGTGCAGGAATGTAGTGATCAGGTAGCCAGGAATTGATGCCAACCAGAAGGGAAGACTCACCAATCAGCCTTTGTTGGATATAGGAATGTAGCAATCAAGTAGCCAGGAAAGGGGAGTCCCAAAACTAGGGAAAGGGGAGGAATTCCACCCTCTGAGAAAGGCAATAGGTGAGAAACTAATGCACAAGCTGCCTTCCAACTTACTCCGTAATCAAGCAAGTCTTGAATTTGTGATCTCTTAACATCAGCCTCCTGGGTTGCTTGGGTAACCGGCATGGGACACCCTTGAAATTTTCTTCAACTTAATTTTATCACTAAGCATTTTTTTAAACCAAAACTTTAAATAAAAATAGAAACAATATTTCTTAAGGTTGGCCTCAAAGTGTTGGGAATTCTTCTGCCTTAGTATACCTACTGCTGACAGAACACGCATGGTACCCCTGTTTTGGAAAGCTGCTCAGATGATGCCAAGGACAAGAACCAAGACAGAGAGGGCGCAAGACTCAAGAAGAGAATTCTATCAAGGCGGAGGAAAGCCCAGCCACGACGTCAGGCCGTCAGACCGCCACGCGGAGCGATTCATTTACTCAACAACGGGGGGTGGGGAAGTTCTGTCTGAATATTAGTTTGGGACCCCACCTAGCAGATCGAGTGGGACGTTCCATTGATTCCGTCTTCAGCTCCCGGCCAATCAAACAGCCATTCTTTATGCGGTAGTCCCGCCCCCGGGGCAACGTAGCCCTGCCCTTCCTATAGTATGGTTCTGTTCCTTCCTGGTGCTCTTGTGGCGTAGGCGCCTAGCTGGGCAGCAAGAGTCCGTCCTGCGGTGTTTGGACTTGGGCTCTTATGCTCTTCTGTCGCCTGTCTCCCTCCGCCCGGGAGTGTGAGGAGCTCTTAGTGCCGTAGTTGTCCACTCGTGGCTAGGCTGAGTGCCATGATGCGGGCAGCGATGCGGTAGGTGGCAGGGCACGGAAGGGCTTGGAGGGGCGCTGTCCCGAGGTATCCACGCCTTCTTTTGCCACACCGAGTTAGCGGGGCAGAAGAAGCAGTTGAGCCGGATGGAGACGGTGGATGTTTGGCTTTGGAGGAAACGGCACTAGCTGCCCGGACCCAGACTCACCACCAGCCTAGCCTGGAAGAATGTCACCCTCCTTTAGGGCCATCTGCCACTTTTAGAAGGGAAGATGTTGGGTGTTCCCTTGAAATTCCTATCCTTTTGCTCATCAGGGGTGTGGCTGGGATCTTGGGGTAGCCCCTTTTCCAAAAGCCTGTGTTTTCAGTTCCGCCTTTCCTTACCATCCCTTTACTCTTTGAAAAAACATTTTGGAGGTTATGTGCTTGACACCCTTGGAATCTGACTTAAGTATGTTACCACGTTGTACAACATTGTACAATACCATTTGTCTTTTATAAGCTGATTCATTTGTTTATGTTGAAACTTTTTTTCGATTTATTTTTATGATATTTATTGTTTTTTTCTTGTGTGTGTGTGTGTGTGTGAGAGTGTGCACTCCATGCATGCCCGATGCCTGGAATGGCGGCGAGCCTCCCATGTGGAGGTTGGGAATGAAACCTATTGCAACAAGTGCTCTTAACCACTGAGCCAACCCACCAACCCCTTACTTATTTAAGACAGGATTTCACTGTGTAATCTGAGCTTGCCTAAAATGCTCTATGTAAGCCAGACTGGCTTCAGATTCAAATATGTCTATTTGCCTTTGCCTCTCCAGGGCAGGTCTTAATAGCTTGTGCCACTACTACCGGCTCTGATTTGTACATTTATTTATTGCCTTGAGATAAACAGCCCAAGGAGTATTGGCTGGCCTTGGACCCATGGCAGTCTGTCAGCTTTCAACTTTTATAGTACTGGGATTTACAGATGTATTTTGTGCCCAGTTTAGAACATGCCTTTGAAAAGCAGCAAGGCCCTTGTAATGAAAATACTTCCTTGGACCACATGGGCAGTTTTGGCAGGTCTAATCTTTCCAACTGGCACAGTTAAGGACCATGGTCTTTAGACCGAAGGGCATATCTGGCTGTCCCACACCATGCAAGTTCTTTTCATCTTGCCTGGTTTCCAAGAGAATGATGCTTGCTCTGGGTTCTGAAGTAATGTTGCTGTTGGTGGGCCTGACTTGAAGTGAGTCTCACTAATTCTCCTGGGGTCCTCCATCTGCCTTTACTGTTCCTGGGAACCATGCCATCACTTGAACAAGGTGGGTTATCTCCCTAACCACCAGCATCTATGCTGGTGTCACACTTCTTAAAGACAGGTCCTTATAAGAAGGTCATGGTTACCTTTAGACATAATGTGAAAGGCTTCAACAAGTTTTATAGTCTTGCCCTTGTGTCTTCTTCCTTAAGACCTTTTTAAAGTGTTGTAAAATTTTATTTTCATATGTATGTTTTGTGTGTGTGTGTGTGTGTGTGTGTGTGTGTGTGTGTGTGTGTGTATTTCATAAGCATGCTTGGTGCCAGTGGAGGCCAGAAGAGGGCATCACTTGCCCTGGAACTGGAGTTGCAGATGCTTGTGAGCCACCATGTGAGTGCTGGGGACCAAACCCCAGTCCTCTATAAGAGCAAGAACTACTCTTAACTGGGCTGGAGAGTAGGCTCAGCGGCTAAGGGTAGTGGTTGCTCTTCCAGAGGACCCAGGTTCAATGACTCCAGTTGCAGGAGATCTGACCCCCTCTTTTGGCCTCTACAGGCTCAGGCGTACATGCAAGCAGACATATAAAATAAAATCTCAAGAATTTTTTTAAAAAGAAATGGTTTAATCATTGAGCTATCTCTCCAGCTCCCACCAGATCTTTCTTGAGCTCTCCTTTCCCCGATTTGGAAGTCCTTCCTTGCACTGTACCTGCACTGTACCTTTATGTTCCTTTCTTGTGAGTCCTACTGAACCCTAACTTCTGTCAATGTCTAGTAGAGAAGTAATCCCTATAAGAGTACAGATTGTCTGAGGTGATTGGACTATTTGGTGTTTGCTTGTGTAGCGCTTTCTCTCTTTCTCTCTCTCTCTCTTTCTCTCTCTCTCTCTCTCTCTCTCTCTCTCTCACACACACACACACACACACACACACACACACACACACGTCAGTCATCCTACTTGATTTAGTCTGTTTATAGAAGTATTTCCTCAGTGTGGTGGGCGAAAGAATAAACTTGCTTGTGCTGCTGTAACTGTGTAGCTTCACTCATGCTTAGCAGGACCCCTACACTCCTAACACCCCCAGCCTTGCACTGACAATGCAGTAACATTTTTTTTTTGCAATTTTCTCCATATTTGGAACCTAGGATGGAGCCAGGCTGTTTCTAGTCACAACTTCAGGTGACTTTGTGGCTCCCTAGGCAAGCCATAGAGAAGTTGAGATTCTTGGGCCTCTTTCATTACAAAGGTTCAGTCTCGGGGTTCTGTGGCCTGAGTATCCTAAAGGATGCATTTGCAGTTTCCTCTAAAACCTTGGGATTATGTTGCAATGCTCTGTGGACTTATTGCAGATAAGGAGGCTAGTAAAGTAATCTTGAGGTACTGAGGGACTGGGTGTTGATTAAGCCATTCCTCCGCCTCTTTTATTTCAGCTCTTTACCATCTAACAGTGGGGCAATGCTCTGACCACAGTGCTGTTAAGAGATTATTGTCATTTATCCAACATTGCAGAGTGGATTTACACAACCCCAGATGAAATAGCCTAGACCAAATGATAGAACTGACAGCTCCGGGGCTGTAAACCTATAGCACAGTACTGAATTGAACAGTGTGAGCAATTGTAACACATTTGTAAGTTATTTTTTTGTCTAAAACAAAAAAGATAGAGTAGTAATGTGTAAAATAGAAAAGGATGCACTCTTTACCATTAATGGAGCTTTAGGACTAGAAGTTGTTCTAGGTGAGACAGCTTAAAAACACAAATATATGGTACAGCTGTTAAAAACCTGTTCTTCATATGACTATTCTATGCGCCTTTTTTCAAGTTTTAAGATATACAGTTCAGGCATTAGAGATATGGCTGTATGGTTAAGAGCTTGCTGCTCTCCCAGAGGGCCTGAGTGTTCAGATCCCAGTACCTGTGTCAAATAGCTCACAGTCACCTGTAACTTCAGCTCAGGAGGGTCAGTGCCTTGTGTTGGATGCCACAGTCACTCAGACATGCTCACATGCATGTACACATTTCTAAATATAGATGCACACATATTTTGGGCTCTCAAATACTGACTGCAGGCATGTTCCGTCATCTTTGGTGTTATATCTGCTGGAAATTGAACCCAGGGACTCGAGCATGCTAGAGGAGCACTCAAGCTACTTAGCTAAATGCTCAGTTTATACAGTGGCTTTTTTAAAATTTATTTTCTAATTTCATGTACATTGGTGTTTTGACTGCACATATGTCTGAGTGAGGGTGTGAGATCCTCTGAAAGTGGAGTTACAGAGAGTTGTGAGCTGCTATGTGGATGCTGGGCATTGAAATCAGATCCTCTGGAAGAGCAGACAGTGCTTTTAATCACTGAGTCATCTCTCCAGCCCCCAGTGGATTTTTTAAGTGTTCAAATTGCCTTTGAATGTATTTCCCAATTTTTAAGGCTGCACATGTAAATTAGGGCCCTAAGACTGACTTTCCAAATATGTCAACGCAGGTGTTTTTCTGCATTCATTTCTCCCTCTTTATGTTACTGAGGTTTCAATTTGGGGCTATTTTGTCTTTCAGTTAATGGTAGCAATAGAAATGATTAGCGATTTTTTTTTCAACATGTTCTTTATATATGTGTGTGTACATGTTGGGTGAGGTGATGTATGTACATGTATGTGTTCGTTTGTCCATGTTTGCACACAGAAACTATAGGAGGTCATCAGGCATCCTGCTCTATCACTTGCCTTATTCCCATGAGACAGGAGCTGTCACTGAGACTACAGCTTATCGTTTAGGCTAGACTGGCTGGCCAGTAAGCCCTGGTAATTTTCTGCCTCTGGGCTTATAGGTACACATGCCGCCACACCTGACTTTTTATGTGGTTGCTTGTATCTGAATCCAGTTCCTCATGCTTGCACAGCAAGCATTCCTATCCACCAAGACATCTTCCCAATCTCTCCAGTGCTTTCTATTTAGAAAAAATACTGTGTGTATATGTATATACCTGCATGATGTGTGTTTGTGTGCATGTGTGCCAGAGTATGCATGTTGTGGTCAAAGGACAGCTTTGTAGAGTCTGCTCTTCACTTTAACCTTTCTGTGGGTCCTGTGGATTGAACTCAGGTTGCCAGGATTGTGACTTTATCACCTTCCATCCTCTGTTATGTTATTTCAGACTAGGTGGTACTCTGTTTATGAACCCCAGTTTATGAGATGGCAGGATAGAGGAGATTTGAATATACATAAAATGTATAATAGATTTGAATATACATAAAATGTGTACAATGGTGAAAAATAGAAAATGTAAATCACATTCTGAGAAAATTCAAATTTGAAGATTAAGATCAAGAAGAATATTAATCTGTGTAGAAAAGTACAGAAAAGGGAAAGGTTACTGTGTAAAAGAAGTCACTTATTGATGATGAATAAAGAGAGCATAAATACTAAAGTCTTCTAACAAACATTCTGTTTTAGTGGGACAACAGGGATTATGTCACCGCTAAATAAGGTGACCAGATGGCTAAGGTGTTAAAATTTCCAGTGAGCAAATATGCATAATTATGTGTTCTTTTGCAACTGAATTAATTGGCTTGGTGAAAGGTCAAAGACTGATTCTAGCAACACATAATTGTCAAAACTACATGTAGGTAGATTTTAACAACGTGTTTACTGAATGACTTTCACTGAAAACTGTAATTTAGTAGCTTGGGCTCCAAGGAAAAGTAAAATTGTAATTTTTCGTTAATCATTATCCTCACATAATATGAATATTCACATAGTATGAATTTGCTAGTAACTTGAGCTAGAATGACTTGCCAGTGTTTGGTATTTTTGATCATTATGCTCACATTATGTAGTAAGAAATGACCTGCCAGTGTTTGGTATTTTTGATCCCTTCTATAACTTTCTAACTGTGCTTTCACATATCAGTTTGCTAATTTCTAGTGTGTGTGTGTGCACGAACGAAAGCTCCTGTGTTTGGGAAACAGTCTCACTGTTTAACCCTCAATGTCCTGGAACTCATTGTGTAGACCTGGCTAGCCTTGAACTCACAGGGATCTGTCACCACACCAGGCTGATATATATGTTATTACTGATCCGGTAGTATATGGCCAAGAGTCAACACTTAGGCAACAGTAAGCTAAAATCAACTTACCCAGTTTACTTTTGAGAAGATTGGTAAAGCCCCTTTGGGTACATAGCTTTCATTTTATTTCACTAGGGACCTAGGACATTTCTAGACAGGTCTAGTTAGTACTTTTCTTTGAGTGCCAAAGCGCTGATTCATAGTTCAAAGATGATTAGTTTGTAATTGACTTGATCTTATTTTTTGAGGAAATATGGTGTGATAATAAGGAGCAAAGTAAATGTTCATAATTAATGTGCTTATTTGCTTATCCAATTAGTTGTGGGATTCTGAAGCCAATAAAATGGAAAGATCAAGACAAAATTGATTAAACCTGGTTCAGTTCATATCTTTTGCTTTTTCATATTTTGCAGATTATTTGCAGATCTGAGGAATTAGTTGGGCTGAGAATACAATAGATCAGTGGGAGAACCCTAGCCTGGCATTTTTAAGGCCCTGGGTTCAATACCTAGTATGACAAAAACAAAACAACAAAAATCCCTGCCAACTTCCAATTGGTGTGGCAGGTGTGGTAGGGCACAGCTATTGTAGCACCGAGAAGGTGGAGGCAGGAGGATCAGAACCTCAAGGTCATTCATTTTCAGCTACATACCAAGACCTTGTAAGACCCTGTCTCAACAACAACAACAAAAAGCTAGGTAACTCTTGAGAAATCCACACCTATCCTGGGGTCTGTCCTTTCCCTGAATGCCTCTCTTTCCATTAATTTTCCATGTTTAATTCTGTCTTTAAATGTTTTCCTGACAACTCTTGCTTGACTCCTCCTTTTAGTGGACTGGGGAAGGGGGAGGGTGGAAGAAGGAGGGAGGGTGGGACTCGGAGGAGGTGAGGGAGGGGGCTACAATGGGGATATAAAGTGAATAAATTGTAAAAAAGTAAAATTAAATTAAAAAATAAAACCCAAGTAGATGCAGGGGTAGAAGTTTGAAGGCATAGTGGTCTAGCTTGCATGTCACTAGGTTCAGTCTTCAGGCACACACATGGGGGAGGGGACAGGCAGGCATAAGGGCTCATAGACCCTCTCTCAAAAATAAAAAGCAGAGGCAGTCAGTCAAGGTGGATCAGTGAATAAGAGTACTTACCTGACAAGGTGAGTTCCATCCCTGGAACCCCTGTAAAAATTGAAAAAAAACAAAAAACAAAAAAAAAAACAAGCTGTATATTCTTTAGTCCCAACATTTTCGTGGCAGGATAAGAGAAAGAGATGGGAGAATCATAAAGAATCTCAGAGGCCAGCTAAGCTGGAGTTTGCAGCATGGCAGGAACAGAAGAGACACTGCCTCAAAAACAAGGTGGTAGGTTACCATAGACTCCTGAAGTTGTCTTCTGGCTGCTGCACATCACAAAAGCACACAAAAGAAGTAATGCAAATGATTAAGTACGCTTAAATCACATACTTGGGGACTGAAAACTCCTATATACTAACATTGGTATGTGGCTAGATACTCTGGAAAAGGTGAAATCTTGTAGGTTCCTCGAGAAGCAGCTCTGGAAACTATTTTAAGTATGCTTTCTCTTTTTTTCAGGCTTTTTTTCTTGAACAAGGGGCTTCTTACTCATCGCAGAGGACTGGCTCGAGGATCCCTGTACAAAGTACATGAACCGTTACACATACGTGAAGGCAAGCCTGGTTGTTTTTAACCTTTTATGCCTACATGATGAAAAAGCCCATTTTGGGGGGATGGGGGAAGAGGATTGAAGGGTGGGACCAGAGGAGAGCAGAGAGGGGGCTGTGGTAGGGATTTAAAGTGAATACATAATTTTTTTTAAAAAAATGAAAAAGAAAAGCCCATTTTCCTTGGTAGGTACACAGAATGATAGTTTAGAGGTAATGAAACATGCATGTTAAAGATTTTTATTTAATTAATTATTGTATATGTGGTGTTGGATATGTGCACATGAATACCTGTGCATGTAGAAGCATCAGTGTTTTTTTTTTGTTTGTTTGTTTCTTTGTTTTGTTTTTTAACAAGTGTTTCTGAGGCACCTGATATAGGAACTAGGAACTGAATTCAGGTCTTCTGCAAGAGCGCCACATGCTCTTAACCATTGTCTTATCTCTCCATCCCTGAGGTATACATGTTAACTGTTGAGGTTTCATAAACATCTTATTTATAAAATAATGAAGATAGTTCACATAATAGCTTGAGGTAGATACCAGAGTGAGAATCTGAGTAGTTCCTAGGAGCCTTGGGGACTGAGCTTTTCTTATTTCCACTTTCTGTATAGAGGTACAGAAGACTAGACCACAGATCTAGTGCACGAGTAAGGAATGAGCCTGCTATTTGTACCAACCTAAACACTTGCCTGTAGTTGTGTTAGAGAGACCTTGTTAATATATGCTTAACTGCAGTTAGTTTCACTTACTATTATTATATGCAGACTCTCGCATGCCTTAGAAATTAGGAGTACTCATTAAAATTATGACCTCTTTAAAGGGTCTAGAGCGAGAGAAAGAGAGAGAGGAATGTGTGTAAAGTTGAAAATTCTTGGTGCTCAGCCCCTCCACTCTTACACTAACCAAACTAGTGAGAACTATATTATGTCAGTGAGCATCAGTAGTCTGTACACTGTTTGGGCTATTTTGTATACATTTTTTTTACTCAGGAGGAATTTCAGAAATAAGATAATTTACTAATGGTTATCTTTTGAGATTCTATATGATTTAACTGTAATTAGTGCACCAAGTTGGTGATGTATACTCTGCATTCTGACAAAAAATCCACCACTTCCATGAGATTACATCTTTTTCTAACCATAACTGGGTTTTGATCATTTAATTATTGAACTAATGTAGCTACATTCATTTTCCCATGGCTGGAATGTGTATTTTGAAATGCTAGGAAAAAACATTATTTGAAATATTGTATGTTTATTTTCTAATTCAATTTGCTCCTGACGATTTAATTCTTTCCCTTTTTCCATATGGCATGTTTTAATTATCCATGTGAATCATGGTGTGTGGTAATTAATTTCAGTTTTTCTCTTCAGCATTTAATATTTTGTGTTAAGCTAATTCACTCTTGCACGGTGGACATTGATTCATTAAATTGCACTCTTTGCTTTACCTTTCTCTGTTTTAAACTGCTCTAATTAGAATAGTGCAAATACTTAAGAAATCAATTTCAATACAACTCAGTTTTGGATATTAGTATTAGTTGCTGAACTAAGTAATTTAATCCAATACTGCCTATAAGAAGGTGAGTGGAGATTCTGTCTATAAATATCTTTTGTTTCCAGACTAGGAAGATAGCTCAATTGGTAAAGTACTTGTCATGCAGGCATAAGAACATGTGAGACTGTGAGGACAAATATGAGCACGATAGGACACAGAATCTGACAGTTATCATCCTGTCTCTTGCCTTTTCTCCCCTGTCATGCTTAGTATTGAACTCAGAACTTTGCATATGCCAAACAAGTGTTCTACTACCAAGCTATGGACTAGTATCCTTAGTACCCATGTCAAAAAACCATATGTGGTGGCAAACACTTGTAATCCTAGCATTGAAGACAGGGAGTCATATGGATAGATATAAACAAGCCTCAGTAATTGCCCAGAAGTATGTTAATTTGTACTAAGGAAACAGTATAATTGTGAAAGCAGAAGCCTGATCCCTCTCCTGAGCTGTTTGTCGTGGTATTGAATGGGAATTCATGAATTTTTTGATGCTTTTTGAGTATGTGAGCATCTTTACTTAGTTCCTGAGCATCTTTTCCTAATCCACATTCCCTATTTCTTTGTTCCATGTAGTAAAGTCTATTTTTTTTTTTCAGTTCGGAATAAGCTGCGGGAGATAGTAGGTGTATCCACAAACTGGAGGTATGTACTTTTGTGTTTCAACCCCAAGGGATCATACTAAGTTATATGTAGGCTTAGTTGCTGATCCTCTCTCATGGATGGAGAGTACTGTGTGGAGACAGGGCTTTTCTGATAGGAATAAAATCTTAATGTATAAATCAGTTGCTGCATCATCACTGTGAAAGAATGTGATTTATTTATATTGTGCATTATCAAAACTTGTTTAGATGTAGTTGCTGATTCTCATAAGGAACCTTGTGACATTCTTCGGACATATTCCATTTTTACACACAATGAAACTGAAAGTCAGAGTTGGAACTTGAAGTCAAGTCTTCTGACTTTAATATATTATGTAACTTGACCCCTTTATTAAAAGGTTCATGGTCTGGGAGAGTTCTGTGGTTTGGGCGATGGGTAGGGCAGCTCTTGGCCCATGCCTAGATCTCCTTTGCTGAGAAGGCAGGGAAGGCCAGATCCAAGGTGATGCACTGTTTGTGAGACCCCAGCTCAGTCTGGGAGGTTGAGAAAAGGCTTGGATGGATAGGCACTCACCAGCCAAATCCCCAGAAGGGACTTGCAAATAGGTTGCTTCCTGGAGGAAGACTAGAGGTTGGTTGAGGTGCAGACTAGGCCAAAGTACTGCTTGTGAGACCTGGCATAGATGTGGTAGGTTGCAGAAAAACAAGGATAGGGCTGTAGGAGGTATTCACCAGGCTAGACCCTAGAGGAGGACCTCCAACATCTGGGTATAGAGTTGGGTGGTGAAGCTGGAGCAAAAGTACCTGTGGGTAGATTCAGGTAGGACAGGTCCTGGTAGAAGTCTAAAGATTTCATGGGGTGCAGGAGGAGGTGGTCAGACTAGGATTTACGTGTTTAAAACAATGTCAAGATGCAACAAAAGTTTTTAAAAGTTGCACCTGGTGGTTTTTGACTCTTTTCTACCCAATCTAAAGTAATTGACAATTCACATCTACATTTCCCCCCAGGAATTTGGCTTTCAAAGGGCTAAGCTATCTGTGTTGAGAGTGTTTCACATTCTCAATTTAACTTTTTTCTCTGACTTGAGTATGTTTTATAAGCTTAACTTTTGGCAATAATAGTTTATCTTTTAAACATAGTAGGACTTCTTATGTCATTGTGCAGTTAACATTTAGTTTCCTGGGTTTTTTTTTTTTTTTTCTCTTTTGTCTTTTACTTTACCCTTATTTTTCCTTATTCTTTTGTCTTTTAAAAATGCTTTCTTGAGCCAGGCAAGGTTATAATACCAGCACTGCAGAAGGCAGAGGCAGGCAGATCTCTGTGAGTTCAAGGCCAGCCTGTTCTGCAGAGCCAGTCCAGGACAGCCAAGGCTACAAGGCTACATAGAGAAATCCTGCCTCGAAAAAAACAAAAACAACAATAACAAAAAATGTTTTCTTCCTTTTTGCCTTCATTTCTGCTTTGCATACTTTCTATGGATATCATTCTTTTTTTTTTTCTCTCTCATTTGTCTCTTTTTTGAAACTGAAGGGTAGGGATAGAGGAAGGAGAAAGAGACAAAGAGGAGAGAAAGGAAGAGGAAAGTGAGAATATGAGAACAAATATGAGCATGATAGGACACAGAATCTGACAGTTATCATCCTGTCTCTTGTCTTTTCTCCTTTCTCATGCTTAGTATTGAACTCAGGACTTTGCATACGCCAAGCAATTGTTCTACTACGAACCTAGTATGCTAGTATGAACAAGCCTTTTCTTTTCTTTCCTTTTTTTTTTGTTTGTTTTTCATGAAAAGGTTTCTCTCTATAGCCCTGGCTGTCCTGGACTTGCTTTGTACCTGGCTGACCTTGAACTCACAGAGATCCACTGCCTCTGCCTCCCGAGTGCTGGGATTAAAGGCATGCACTACCACCACCTGGTGGATAAGCCTTTTATTTCATAAAAATATTTTATGTGGATTGGTGTTTTCCCTGCATTTATGTATGTGCAGTAAGTGTGTGCCGTGCATGAGGAGGGCAAAAGGTGGAATCGGGTCCTCTGGAACTGAAGTTACAGATGGTTGTGAACCATTTTGTGAGAGTGGTGTCAAATCTGAGTCCTCTGTGCAAGCAGCCAGTGCTCTTAACCACTGGGTGATATCTCAGACTCCTGGAAAAACTTTTTGATCCATTGACTATGTGGCTCATTTAGATGTATCTATATCTAAGTATGTGTTTCTTAGGCATATGCCTAGTTTCCAGCTCTCTCAGTTGGTAGAGCATGAGACTCTTATCTACAACCCTAAAATGTCATCAGAAATGTTCAGTTTCCCCGATTGGTTCATGGGAAAGGAGTGAAGAAGTTTCTTCCATTTACCCTGTCTGACTGTTCTGTTTGAGGGGATGGGTACTGGAATTATGGGACAGCACTGTTCTTGCTTGATGACCTTACCTTTTCTTCTCAGAGACCACGTAAAAGCAATGGAAGAAAGGAAGTTACTTGATAATTTTTTGGCTAAGTCGCAGAAAGACCTACCACCGAGGAAAATGAAGGACAGTTACATTGAAGTTCTCCTACCATTAGGTAGTGATCCTTCACTGCGAGAGAAATATTTGACTGTTCAAAACACAGTAAGGTAGAACTGTTATTTTCATTGTTGTCATTTGTTTTTAATTTTTTTCTTTTAAAATAACTACTGTGAGATATAAACCTTATAGTTCATCTATTTAAAGGTATGACTAGTTTTAGTATAGTTTTGTATAAGTATCACTACAGTCAATTTTAGAGCCCTTTCTTTATCTCAAGGTGAATTATAGGAAATCATTGTGGTTTTTATTTAATTCATATTTTGTTGTGTTTCACAGATTCGGCAGGATTCTTGAGGATCTTGACAGCTTAGGAGGTACTGGTATTTGTATTCCTAATAACAGTTTCAAGTAGACAATGAATTCTTGGAAAAAAGGGGCATTTTTTTTTAACCCTGCACATATGAGGGTATTCTAAAAGGGCAAAAAAGTCTATTGTCATATTGTTTTTCTTATAATATAGATTTCTCTTTAATTGAGTTACCATCCAAATGAGCCTTATTTATGATCATTTTTAGTTGTAAAATTTACAACTAACTTGAACCTGGGAATTGACCCCAGGGCCTCAAGCATGTTAAGCACACATTCTAGATGTAGTTCTATCTGCAATGTCAGGGAATGCTATTTTGTAGGCATGACATGGCCATTGCACTCTTGTCAGCAAGGTACTAACTGTACAGGGCCTCTATAACAGTGGGCCCTTGGCATTCCATCATAGAGAGGTAATGGATCTAGGTGGTTCTGCCTCTCAAGGAAGCTCTATATACAGTTAACTGTTGCTAGGCAGAAAGGACTTATGAGGCCCCACCCCTCCCTGAGGATCTAGAGACAGTTAATGATTGCTGGGGAAAGAAGAGACGTTTTCTTTTTTTCTAATTATTATTTTTGTTTTTGTTTTTGTTTTTTTTTTGAGACTAGGTTTCTCTGTGTAGCCATGGCACTAGATGAACTAGCTCTGTAAACTAGGCTGGCTTCGAACTCAGAGAGATCCACTTGTCGCTGCCTCCCAAGTGCTGGGATCACATCCCCTCCCTTAGCTTGAGACATTTTCTTCATTGGTGTAGTCACCGGCGTATTGTGCTGTTTTCGCATAAATAATCCTTCACTTATGTCCATTTAAGCACCCCAAATTATCTCATTGGGTCACTACAATTTTTAAGAGTTTTAAAGACAAGTTACAGATGCCCTATAAAGAATTATTTTCCTTGAATCTTAGGTGAGAGAGTAAATTGCAGACCACCATGTATTTTAGTGTAAATTTCCTACAAAGAAAGACATCTCTTGCAGGGTGCGGTGGTGTACAACTTTAATCCCACCATTAAGAGAGGCAGAGGCAGGTGGATAGCTGTGAGTTCAAGGCCAGCTTGGTTGACAAAGCAAGCCCAGGATAGCCAAGGCTATACAGAGAAACCCTGTCTTGAAAATACCAACGAAACCAACCAAACAAAACAAAACTGAGCCTTCTCTATGACCTCCTGGATTCTTTTTAAATGTGTCTTCCATCATTCTTTGAGCACTTCTTAACTTTCTGACCAGTAAGACATTCTAGATTCATCTTCTCTTCCCTCTGGCCCAGCCAGCCAGTTAGTCAAATTTCCAGGGGATCCTAGTTCTTTTTCGTGGAGAACATTTAGGAACCAAGGTCTGTGTGCTAAGAGTAGCCGTTGCTGCTGGTTGTCACTATTCCTGTATCCTCTCTTTTGGGTGAGTTGGGATATTAGGTCCACATATGTCCATTGACATTTGTTCACTTAATTGATCTCTTTGTATATGGAAACTAGTGGCTTCAACTTTAATTTAGCACTCTGTGGTTTGCATTTGTATATTTATAATTTCTTTTCCCAGTTAACTCCATTATCCTTAATATATTTACCAACTTGACCAGCTTCCTGCATGTAACCCATTTACCAGGGCCACTGCCAGAATTCCTCGTGGTCACGTCCCTTACTTCGCTTGGACTCTGATACCCCAAAACCAAGTCCTTTCTGCGTAGTCATCCTCTTCGTTGTGCTTAAGCTGCAACAAGCTTCCATTGCTTTTTCCATCTCCCTGAGTATCCATCCTACTAATGCCACTTGGGCTCCCCGCTCCAGGCTGCTTTTCTTACTCCCTCCTAGTGACTTTCAGACTTAACTGCTGGTAAAGGGCTTGAAGAAAGACCCTGATATCTCTTAAAGTACAGAAATGAGACTTCTTAGATGAGTGAGAAGAACATACAGCAAGAAGAAAATGGACCAACTGCATTGAAATGTTGTCTGTTCAGAGTTGGGAATTGATTCCACACATGCTTACCTAGCACTCTATCACTGAGCTATAACCCCCTAGAGGAGACTGCTTCTCATTTAGGTTAATTAAAAATTCTTACTGGTATTTAAAAATTATACACATTTATATTTGTATATCTTACTTTGGTTTACTTAACTGTCCTTCTATTCAAAAACTCCTTTGCCATTACCCTTAATTTTCTTTTTAAAATTCTTACTGTGTGTGTGTGTGTGTGTGTGTGTGTGTGTGTGTGTGTGTGTAAAAAGGCAATCAAAAGGACTGCTTGTGGGAATTGGTTCTCCTTTTCCGCCTTGTACATTCTGGAGATTGACCTGAGGTTATCAGGCTTAGCAACAAGTGCCTTTAGTACTGGCTGACTCTATCCTTGTGTTCTCCCTCATTACCTCCTGTCAACTGCCAGTCCCTTCCACTTGTTCTCTTAATACTCCTATGTGTTTCTTCAAGGAGCTTGCCATATCACTTATGCCTTTTTCTTTGTATCCCAAACCATTTCCCAACTTGACTTTTTCCTCATGTCATAAATATCAAAATTCTCCATCTTTAAAATTAAAAGTAGATAAAATCCCCTTCTCTTAAATACTCCTCCAATTTCTTTCCCCCTCCCTTCATTGCTCATTTTTCTGGAAATATTTAGAAGTCATTTTGTTTCATTGCCCTTTATCATGACTTTGTCAGACTGCTCTGTTCTGCTGTCTCCTCTTCTGTACCATGGAAAGTGTTCTTACCACACTCACCATTGCCCCCTTCCTTGCACAGACTACAGAGTATTTCCCCTTGCTTACCTGATATTTTTTGAGATTTCTGATAATCCCCCACCCCATTCTTGGTCTCTTTGGCTACTCTTTTTTAGTCTTTATAGGCTCCTCTTTCTCTGTTGATCCATTAAATGTTGGCTGTTCCAAGGTTTTTGTCTTCTGTACCTTTGAAGGCTACCTTTTCACATTCTATATAAATAGTCTCAATTATTTTGAGCCCTTCGGTTGCTATGAGTATGCTGAATGCATGTGCAACTACATTTCCTGACTTCCCCTAAATTCCAGGTTATCTTCCTGTATCATCCTTTGAATGTCCTATTAGGTTTCTCAAATTCAGCATTTTGGTCTGGGGGTTATAGCTCAGTGATAGAGTGCTAGTTAAACATGTGTGGAATCAATTCCCAACTCTGAACAGACAAACAGCATTTCAATGCAGTTGGTCCATTTTCCTCTTGCTGTATGTTTTTCCCTCTCATCTAAGCAGGAAACATCTATCTTTTTTTATCTCTTGAATCTTTTTAGCTCCAGTTCTACTAGTATGATCACAGGTCAGATACACAAAGATTTCTGGGAACCTGACAAGATTTTAAATGGAGTTTCTAACCTTTAACATTTCATGCCCTAATATATCTTTTAATGGGTATATGGATGGAAGAAGTAACTGTCATTCAGCAAGTATTGCTGAGCAGTCTTTGCCCTGAGGATGGGTGAGACCCATTTAAGGAGATCATGGTGGGAAACAAGGAGCACCAATCAATGCATGCTGTAATGCAAATTTAAATGAGTTCATAATTGTAAGGCACATAAAGCCATACCGGGCAAATATATAATGTGTGTTAAGATATAGAAAATAAGTCAGATAGTGGCGGTGCATGCCTTTACACCCAGTACTGAGGAGGCAGAGGCAGGTGGATCTCTGAGTTTGAGGCCAGCTTGGTCTACAGAGTGAACTCTAGTACAGCCAAGGCTACCCTGTTTTGAAAAACCACTACTACCACCAAAACAAACAAACAAACAAACAAACAAACAAAAAACCAAACCCAATATAGAAAGTATAGAGAGGATTGCAAGACATTGTGGAAACCAAGAGTGTGACTGGGAAAAAGGCATAGCTGAGTAAAACAACAGCATCATGATTAGGAAAGAACTGGAAGGGAAACAGGCAACTGAGTCCTTGTGCTTCCTCTCTCTCTTCTGTGGTGTTTGCTTGATACTGTAGGACTTGTCCTCAATTCTTACTTTGATTGCTGTGATGACAAGCTGCTTGTTGGGGCTTCACTTTGGAATTTGGTTTCCTTACTAAATCTTCAAGTAAGAGAAGAGTCAGAGTTTAGGATCTTCAGACTGATTCAGTTTATAAAATCTTTGAGGTCAGGTATAGTAGAGTGGCCTGTAATCCCATCCACCTAAGAGACAAAGCAGGGGCTAGAGAAGGCTCAGTAGTTAGGAGCTCTAGCTGCTCTTGGAGAGAAGTAAGGTTTAATTTTCAACATCTATGTGACAGGTCAAAACTGTCTGTATGTAATTCTAGTTCCAGGGAATCCATTGCCCCCTTCTGACCAACTGCTGGCTAGCTTTACGTCAACTTGACACCAGCTAAAGCCATCACAGAAAAGGGAGCCCCAATTAAGAAAATACCTCCATAAGATTGGGCTGTAAGCCAGACTGTAAGGAATTTTCTTAATTAGTGATTGATTGGGGAGAGCTTGAATGGGGAGGGCCCAGCCCATTGTGGGTGGTACCATTCCTGAGCTCGTGGTCCTGGTTTCTATAAGAAATCAGGCTAAGCAGGCCACCAAGCAACAACCCTCCATCCTCTGCATCACCTCCTGCCTCCAGGTTCCAGCCCTGCTTGACTTCTTGTCTTGACTTCCTCCAGTGATGGATTATGATCTTGATCTGAAAGTATAAGCCAAGGAACCCTTTTTTCCTCGTCTTGCTTTTAGTCATGGTGTTTCATTGCAGCAATAGAAACATCAACTAGGACAGACTTCCGTAGCTTCCAACATAAATGTGGTACAAATACATACACTTAGGCACATACACATACACATTAAATAAATGAATTGTTTTAAGGAGGGAAATTACTTTGCCAAGCCTGGAGGCTCACATCTGTAATTCTAGTACTTAGAAGGATGAGGTAGAAGAATCACCACAAGTTTGAGACCAGTCTGGGATAAATATATATATAGTGAGCTGTAGGCCAGCCTGGGCAACAGAATAAAACCTTGTCTCAATTAACCATAAGAAAAAGTCTTTGGTTCTAGGATAAGATCATTACTTGAGTATTAAGAGATTTTATTGAAAATAAGACCTTTTGTCAGTTTCAGAGAGAGAATTGTAAATGGGTGAAATAATTCCGCTTTTCTCTTTTATGCTCTTCTGGTTTCCTACAGTTCTTATTTGTTACATGCACACCCAAGATCAATCTGTCAAGATGTCTCCTTTATCAATAGTTACAGCCCTGGTGGACAAGATTGGTAAGCAAGATCAGCTTCCACGCATACTTAGAATTTTCAGTAATTATAAAGTATTATTGGGATTGAGGAAAACTGTTTTCTTTGTAGGGGATTTTAATGTATATATGAAATTATCTAGAATATAACATGTTTATATAATTAAATGGAAGAGTTATACTTGATTCCAGTTTTTATAGTCTTTGTATGGTCTCCAATTTCTGGAAAGACTTGTGGATTTTTTTTTGTATGTCAATTTTTGTTTTAAATTTTGAAGATAAGACTTGTCAGCTTTTCAAATGATATTGTCCACGTATACTACAGACTTTTCTGATATGGTTTGTATGGATCTTGACTTTCTATTTTGCAGATATGTGTAAACAGAGCTTAAGCCCTGAACAGGACATTAAGTTCACTGGCCATGTTAGCTGGGTTGGAAAGACATCCATGGAAGTGAAGATGAAAATGTTCCAGGTGTGTATGTACCGAAGATCCCCCACTGTTCAAATATAATCAGCTAGTCTCACTTGGAAAAAAGCTGTCTATATTCATGGACAGATATGAAGTTTACAGCTTTGAAGCAATCAACAGTTCAAGGAAAATTAGCATTTTTCCTTTGCACAAAAACACATTATCTGCTATTTACGTTTAATGTATATTACTTTATAATCATACAGCTGTACATTAAGTTGCTTGTTGTTTCTGACTTTGGCCTGGAGGATTTCACAGAACTCTAAGATATATTAGATGTGAATTCGATTAATTACTGTATTACTTTCCTAGGGCTGCTGTACCACAAAAGTACTATAACTGGAGGCTTAAAAATCCCTGCAATTTATTTTTTGAATTTAGAGGCTCTTATTCCCAGAACAAGCAGTCAACAGCAGAATCACATTCCCTAAGAAACGTGCTGGAGATTATCTTTGCTTACCTCTTCTTGGCTTCAGGAGGCTTTTCTGCTTTTGTCATTGCATGGTTTTCATGTGTCTATATTTCTATGTCTTTTCTCTTACTAATATGCTAGTTATATTGCATTGAAGGCTCACTCTGCTTCAATATGAAGTCATTGTATTTTACTCTGTTTTGTTTTTTTTGTGTTTTTTAATTAATTACACTTTATTTGCTTTGTATGTGTTTTTTTGTTTTGTTTTGTTTTTGTTTTTGTGTGTGTGTGAGAGAGAGGACTTCATGTAGTCCATGTTGGCTTTGAACTGGTCCTCAAGAATGTGTTAGTATCTGATGGTAAAACAGCTGGTGGTGGCTTTGCTGTTGGCACAGCTAGTGAGGCAACTGTACAGAAGTAGTTGGAGGCTTTTGTTTTGTTTTGGGGTTTTGTTTTTGTGAGACAAGTTCATTTCCTATAGTGTAGGCTGGCTTCAAATTCCTGATTCTCCTGCCTCTACTCCTCAAGTGCTTGAACATAAGCATTTGTCAGAATGTCTGGGCTAGTTTTTTGGAAACAGACCCTCACTCTGTAGCACAGGCTGTTCTGAAACTCATAGCAATCCTCCTACCTTAGCTTCACAAGTGCTGGGATTACATGCATGAGCTGCTAAACCTGGCATTTATTTTATTTTATGTAATTATGTCTATAATGCCCCTGTTTTCAAATATTCCCACCTGCAGGTTTGGAGTTTAGAACTTCTTCGTATCTTTTGGGGAATGAAAGACACCCTTCAGTTCTTTTCTTTTTGTAGTACTGGGGATCAGATTCATGTTCTTGCATGTACCAGGAAAATGTTTCACTACAGAGCTACATCCCTACCCTCAGTCCTTAATAGTCATTTGTGTCTAATGAGCAGAACTCAGAGACTAATCAATGCAGAAACCAAATAACTTAGAGTCTACCCAGTATTTCACTGTGGAAAACTTAAGAGTGATTTATTTAATCATGATGTGCTAGTCAGTGGACTTATTATTCAAATGCATTCTTTTCTACTATAGAATTCTAAAGCATTTTACCTCTTTGTAAAAAACAATTTTCAGGCAGGCTCGGTTATGCACTCCTGTAATCCCAGCACTCAGTGAGGCAGAGGCAGATGGATCTCTGAATTCAAGGCCATCCTGGTCTACAAAGTGAGTCCAGAACAGCCAAGGCTGTCCAGAGAAACCCTGTCTCAAAAAAACAAAACAAAACAAAAAAACTAAAAATACAAAAACAAAAAAAGTCTGAAGCTTGCTATGTATAGCAATTGTCAAAACAAACAAATTTGCCTTTATAGTTTTAAAATGTATTATTTGATAATTTTAAAAAGGCATATATGGTATTTTGAACACGCGTTTTTGCCATTACCTTCTCTTAGCCCCCTTTGAGTACCACTGAACTACTTGTATCCTTTCCAACTAGGACCCGTCATACTTTTATGTCTTTTTTTTTTTTTTTGTGACCCACTGAGTTTAATAAGGTTTGCTAGCTTGAACATGAGTAAGGAGTTATTTATTGGTACAGTGGCTACACAACTGAAGAAAAGGACTCCTTCCTCAGTAGTAGCCATTAAATGCCAGTGGCTCCCAAAGGGGAGGTGGGGCCTCCCAAGCCCCTCATGTAACCCTGGTAGAATGTTTAAGGTCCCTATCTCTTGCAGCTCTAGTGCAGGTAACCACAGCTGCTGTGACTTTGTGAGAGTAGTGGCCAGATATTGAAGAGGAAGCAGCGTTTTACAGTACTTCTTCCCATTCCCTGAGTCTTAACAGTTTTTCTGTTGCATTTCCTGACGTATTCCTCAAGCCTTGGAGGTGGGGTGATATAGATGTCCTTATATAGGGCTGCATACTCAACAGCCACTTAATTCCCAGCACTCTGACCCATTAGGTATGTCTGCATTAACTACCAGATAATTTTTAAAAATTAAATACTATATTAAAGTGATTGAATTGTATTTCCATACTTACATAATTGATAGCAAAGCCGAGTTTTTTTTTTTTTTTGTTCTTTTGAAAATAATAAAACACTTATAAAGTTTCTGTGAAAGAGTCTATAATTTGTAGACACTTAAATTTCTTGGTTAATTTCAACTCTGCCCACTGCTGAATACAGTAGATTCCTGGCCTACGGCCTACATTCCAGGGAACCCCAGCTATTTGAATCATGTATAACTAGATTAGAAAATAGATACAGAACTCTAGGAGGGAAGGCAGGGAGGGAAGGAGAAAGAGAGGTAGAGGGAGAAAAGAATGAAAAGTCAAGTCATTGTCAAACAAGTAAAACCTTTTTTCTTTTTTTAAGATAAAGTGTCATGTATATCAGGCCTAGAATTTGCTGTGTAGTTGAGAACGACTTGGAATTTCTGATTCTCTGGTCTCCATCTCCTGAGTGTTGGGACTACAAGTGTGTGCCAGTTTTCCTCGTTTATGCCATACTAGGGATTGAGCCCAGGGCTTCTTCCAAGCACTATACCAACTGAGCTGTATGCCTAGCCCCAAAATTTTGTTTTAAATTTGCCTTCCCTGTTGGCTGTTTGACTGATAACTCATAACTTTTGCAATATTTCTGTGCCAGATAGGTGGCATAGAAATTCCAGAGAGATGGTCTTTTGCCTCATTTTCGAATAGACCTGGGTCTGATCCCAGCTCTGCTGCCTGTTAGGCATATGGCTGTGGGCAAGTGTTAATTATAGTAAATCGTGATGTGACTGTTTAGCAGTCAAGTCTCCGTTAATGCTTTTTCCTTTACCTGAACTGTCTAGTGCTCTGATTGTGTACATCCCCACTGTGCTTTGGGGTCACATCTTGGCTCCACCCCTTCTTTGACATTTCCAGCTTGGAACATTTGCTCCTCTTTCAAGACTTGTTCTCTGTCTCTTCTTCCTGACACCTGATACTCTCTGTCCTACAGAACTTTGTACAAACTTATTTCTCTTCTACTATCTAAGCATACTTTTCAACCATAGTTTCAGTCACCGAACACACTTCACAATGTCCATTCATGAAATCAATTTGGCAGTCATTTATTGAGCATCCCTTCTGATGTGTGTATACAACAGCAAGCAAAACACACAAAGTTCCTTTCTCTTAAAGCTTGTATTTTACAAGGGTCCATTGATGAAAACCCCAGCTCATTAATTTTTAAAACATTAATGCCATATCTATCTGCCAGTATTTCTGCTTAGTTTTGGCATTGTACATGTGAAGGAAAATGGTCCCAGTCCACAAGTACCTCGCCATATCATAGGGAGACAACCACATAAATAAATAATTGCGATATATTACGGAGTATTTCCCAGAAGAACTATTTTGGCATTTTATCCAGGAAATTTCTTAGTTCTAAAGACCTGCCTGTGCACTGTGAGATATTTCACTTCCTGGTTGTCCTCTATATGATTTATTTGTTGCTATAAATACCTATCTGATAGTTTGAATAAGAAATATTTCCACAGTCTTAGGCATTTCAATACTGGGTCCCAATTTGGTAGTGCAGTTTGGGTAGGTTTAGAAGATGTGGCCCTGCTGGAGGATTTGCGTCACTGGGAATGGCCTTTGAGAGATTAAAGACTCATGCCATTTTTAGTTTGTTTCTCTGTTTCCTGCTTGTGGTTCAGCCATCATAGTTGCTGCTATGCTCCTCCTTCATAACAGACTCTTCCCTTTGGAATTATAGGTTGTCTTGGTCATGGTGTTTTATCCAAGCAGTAGCAAAATAACTAGTTGCTGACAAAATCAGCTTAAAGTAAAGGAGAGAGGATTTGTTTTGGCTCTATTTCAGAGGTATTTTAGTCCATTTAGGATAGTAGTAGCATAGCATTTTTGTCAGTGAGAATATGGCTGGGGCTACTCAAATCATGGCAGCAGACAACAAATCAGAGAGCACAGTCTAGAAGCAGAAGTGGAACTAACTCTTCAATTCAGTGTCTGTTCTAGTGAAATAGTTCTGCCAACTAGGGTCTCCATCCTAACAGTTCTATGACATCCCAAAATAGTGTCACAAGCTGGAGATCAAGTGTTAAAAGACTCGAGTCCTAAGTAAAGGAACAAACACATGAGTCTGTTAGAGCATTTCCTATTTAAACTGTAACTTTTCACCTGTAGCCCCCAAATGCTCATGGATCTCTCATAAAGCACAATGTATTGAGTCCAGCTATAAAGTCCGCATAGTCTTGACAGTTTCAAGTCTGTTCTAAAGTCCCTTGTCTCAGGGGCTGGAGAGATGGCTCTGCATTAAACAGTGATTACTACTCTTACAGAGGACTGGAGTTTGGTTTCCTAACCCAGTCTGGGTATTTCACAATGGCCTATAACTCAGCTCCAGGAGGAACTGATACCTCTGGTCTCAGCAGTCATGGACACACATGGACACACACACACACACACACACACACACAAACACACACAATTTAAAAAGTACTTCAAAAAGTTTGACGTCTCCATTGAAACTCAGGGCAAACATTTAAGCTGTGAGCTTCTATAAAATCAAAAAACAACAATACTTTTATTCTACAATGCCATATGTTAAACATTCCCATTTCAAGTTTCAAAAGAGAAGAATAAGAAGTTAACATGACTGAAACACATCAGAGCAACCATTAAACTCTGTACCTCCATGTCTAGTACCTGAGGCATGCAGTGGCATCATTATACACATATCTATCTGTATGTAATGTATTTTGATCATTTTTACCTTTTTCTGTTCCGATTCCCTTTGAACCCCTTTTCAACAAGTCCCCTTCCTTTAAGACCCAGTGTTTAAGTCAGAGTTGCTTCCATGAGCTTAGATGGGGGATTACTTACTGGAGAATAGGCCACATACTAGTGGCTCCACCCGTGAAAACATGATTCCTCCCTCACCTAGTAGCTATTAACTGCCAGTAGCTCCTGCCCATCAACAATGGAATGTTGACAGCCTGTTTTGTACAGATAACCGTAGCTGCTGTGAGCTCACAAATGCAACAGCCACAGCATATCTAGCATTTCACAGCGTTCTTCCCCGCCTCCCAGCTGTTTCATTATTTTTAACCTTTCTTCTGCTGTGTATCTTGGTTTGGGTGATGATACAGATGTCCTGTATAAGGCTGCAGTTCATTAATTTTGGTTAGTATTTTGCTCTTTTGAGACATGTTTTTCAGTCTCTCCCTGGTTGTCCTGATTTTCTCTGTAGACCAGCCTGTCCAGGAACTCATAGACATCCACCTGCCTCTAGCTCCCAAGTGCTTTGATTAAAGGTGAGTGCCATTACATAGGGCTTTATCTCATTAATTTTGAATTAAGGGTCATTCAGATTGCAGGATATATACATACACAATGAGCAAGATTCGTTGCCAGAATACAAAATGAATATCCTCTGGTCTAGCTCCTGACAGAAGCCGTATACCTATCTGAAACCCCATGAACACTGTTTTACTATCCACATTTCCAATAACATTCTGGTCTGCTGAATGGCCCATTAAATTAGCCCAATGCTCCAAACTAAATTCTACCTGTCAGTCATTTTCAAGGATCCAAGAACTTCACAGTCTGGTTTATCACAACCATCTTCGTGATACCAGTTTTCCATATTGGTTACTTCTGCTGTATTTATTATTTATTTAAGATTTTGTTTTGTTTTACTTTACGTGCATGAATGCTTTATTTGAGTGCATGTATGTGCACTATACGCATGCCTGTTGGATTCCCTGGAACTGAGGTTACTGACGGATGGTGTGAGGCTACAGGAGCAACAAATGCCCTTAACTATGGAGCTATCTGTTCTGCCCAGTTATCTTTGTTATTTCTATGACAAAATATGTGATAAAGATCAACCTAATGGAAGGATTTATTTTTCTCACTGGAGAAATAGAAAAATCATTTCTCCTTGGATGAGGTGGCTTAAAGTTAGAGAGCCCTTCCCTATAGTCTTTCTTCTTTCCTAGACAAAAACAAAAATATCTTTGGATACAGGTAAGAAGGTCAAGGAATGTCTTTAAGAGTCTTTAAGAATGGTAGTTAAATGATTTACCAGGTGGAGCACGGATAATGGCAAACACAAATAATTAATAGTAATAATTCCAAACTAGGAACTATGAATCCCAGGTTTTCAGATCATCTGAACTGATCCCCTGTGGTCCATTTTGCAAATGCAAAATGTAAATTCTTGATTGGTGCTTAACTGTCTTAGTGGGGTTCCTGTGTCTCATCTTAAACACTAGTGGAAAATTGGGCTTTATTATTCACAGGTAAACACTGTGAGTAGTTCTTTGGAGTCTGTCACCTGCTGGAGCTACCCTTTTAAATGAGCTGAAGTCTGTCTCCCATGACTCTCTTTTTTAAGTGTTTGTTTAGAAACATCGGAATTCCTTGTCAGACTTGGCCAGAGTAAGCGTCTTGTTTAGGAGTTGGTAGCACTTTGTGGTTGTTGTAGGCTTTTAATAAGTATAGTTATTTAGTATTTCACAGTTCCATATAAAATCATATGCTTTGAACCTATTCACACACAGACACTGTAATCCTCTCTGGATTCCCTCCCACCACCTCCTTTCTTTTTCCCAAGTCCTCCTCCTATTTTCATGTAAATTTTTGGTGACCCACTGGATTTAATTAGATTTACATGTAAAAGCATAGGTGGGGGTTATTTCCTGGAACATGAACAAACTTAGCCAGTGGCTATGCCGTGGAGAAATGTTACTTCTCCTTCCACAGCAACCGTTAAGTGCCAGGAGCTCCTTTGCACTGTTGATAGGCCATTAAGTGCCAGGAGCTCCTTTTCACGGTGGAATGTTGATAGGCACAGTGTTATGCAGGTCTCCTGTGGTCACCAGCTCTTCTTTGAGTTCATGAGTACAGCAGCCATGACATGTTCAGAGCATAGAATTCCAGAGCCGTCCTTCCCATCTTCCAGCTCTTTCCATGGTGTTCTCTGAACCTTGGACAGGGTGATACAGATGTTCTTAACAAATATATATATATTTATATATATATATATATATATATTTGTTATATATATATGTATATGTGTATATGTATATGTATATATATATTTGTTATATATATATGTATATGTGTATATGTATATGTATATGTATATATATATATATATATATATATATATATATATATATTTAGTTAACTGATTAAGCAGCTGAAGGTGTTGATGCCTGCTGACTTGTCCTGCCATGGCAGGAGGATCATGAATTCAAGATTATCATTGCTTACATAGCAAGTTCAAGAAAGCCAGCCTGGGCTACGTAAGAACCTGTCTCAAAATACAAAACAAAAGAAATTGATCAACATATAGACCCCGTATCAGTAATTGGAATTTGTTATAGGAGTTATCTGAGCTATCTGAATTGTTTTCTCTAGTTGTTTGAGGAGAAACTTCAAAAACTTAAGTAGCTTTAGTCCTGAAAAGGGCAACAGTGAAACTTCTCTTCAGAGGAAGGGCGTTTTTGCTTTAAGTAGTTTCCCTATTTATAGAGAGGCAGAGCTCTGTTTTTTAGAACTCCACTGAGCACAATATATGACATGGTTTTCCACACAGTTGCAAGTGTTACCCCCTTTTGGATGCATTTTACATATTAACATAAAAAGAATTAGTTCTCATTATGACAGGTTTTTTTTTTCTTTTTTGTTTGTGTAGAGATCAGTGGACAATGTTGTGAAGGTGGTTCTTTCTTTACATTTCTATGTGGGTTCTGTGCATTCAAGCTCAAGTCTTCAGGCTTGCACTGCAAGGGCTTTCTTTACCTGCAGAACCATCTCACTAGTCCCATTATGTCATTTTCAATCAAAATTTCGTTTTGTTGTCCTCCCATTGCTCCCTTCTTCAGCAGTGCTGCTTTTGTTGTACCATTTCCTTTTTTTCTTCCTTCTTCTCCTCCTCCTCCTCCTCCTTCTCCTTCTTTTTTTTTTTTTTTCCGAGACAATGTTTCTCTTTGTAGCCTGTACTGTAGACCAGGCTGGCCTTGAACTCAAAGAGATCAACCTGCCTCTGCCCCTTCAGGTTTCAGGCTTAGGATTCTCCTACTAACTTAGTAGCCTTTAAGGAATCCCTTTTGTTTCCTTGATCACAAGTTTTGTAAGGTCTTGTCTCAGACCATTTATCTTATCTTTGTAAAATATAAGGCTAATTCTGTTCTTAAATTTATGATCCTGAGTTCTGTACTTGAACTGGATGTTTTTTGGAGTGTTCTGTAGACTTTCTGAAGAAGGTTGTAATTAAAATAGGAAAAATAGAGAGTATCAATAAGAAAGTTTTAGGATCAAGATAGGAGGGCACAGAAGTGGGCATTACATGGATATTTTTGAAGATAATTTAATGGTAAACATAATAAGAGCTGAAGAGCTAGTGGGACAGAGAATATGGCCTTTTTTATGGCTGGTTAAAACACCACAGATTGGGGCTGGAGAAATAGCGCTGTGGTTAAGAGCACTGTTTCCTCTTCTATAGGACCAGAGTTCAATTCCCAGCTCTCCCGTGGCAGCCCATAACTGCCTATAACTCCAGTTCCAGGGGTTCTTGTACCTTTTTCTGGATTCTGAAGATGCTGCATGCACTAGCTGCACAGACATGCATGTAAGCAAAGTACCCATACACACAAAATAAAATAATTAATTAAAAAACCCACCACAGATTTAGTCAGAGACTACTGAAATTTGTCATTTTTTTTTCTTGAACGGCATGTTTAATGGCATTCATTTGAATAAATCCTGATAACTGGCATAGTACTCACAGTCCTTATTTCTGTTTAATCGAGTTTAATAGTACCAATTCTTTCCACTCTTTAGTTAAATTTTCCCTGTCTAATGTCTCTTCAGGCTATGCACTGGTTAGAGTCTAACCTCTGGATCCAGACCCTCTCTGATCAAAAGGACAGGTGGACTTACTAGAGTTGTAGAGCCCTTTTAGTGGGATCCTGGTCGACCTTGAAAGGCATGAGTCCCAATATGAGCTATCCTCTTAGTTTCTTTTTTCACTTTGGATTTCCTCGCAATGTTTTGGCTGTTGAATACCCTGGAAATTTTTCTCAGTGTTTTGTTTTTATTTCAGAGGCAGGACTATAGTCACATAGGACTGTAATTACACAAGGTAGCCTGAAACCCAACAGGCTAGCTCCATCTCACAGGCACTATTCTGCCTCAGCCTCTCAAGTTGCTGGGACTGCAGGTATGTGCTACCACACCTGGCCAGTTTTTTCAGTCTTCAACTGGTAGTATGGGTTTTAATTTTGACATTAATATCTGGATAAAACCTAAGTTTAGAGTACTTTCAGTTCTTCGGGGTCTGACATTTTTAGCCATATTCACACAAGGTGTTGACTATACAATATAGTAAATAATAATAATAGTAATAATAATAATAATAATAATAATAATAATGTATACTGTCACAGTTGTGGTAGGTATTCCCAGTAAATGCATTCTTTACAACTTTGTTTTTCTTTTCTTTCTTCTTTAGCTGCACATTGATAATGAATTCTGGCCTGTTTTGGATGCAACGTTTGTAATGGTGGCTCGAGATTCTGAAAATAAAGGGTAAGTGCTGCCTTTTCATGGTTCCGTAACTTCAAAATTTTTCAAAAATACATAAGATCAGAGAAAAAAAAACTAATGAATTTCCATATGCCCATGACCTGGATTTAACAGATTTAACTGTAATATGTTTACAAAATTAGTTTTTCTTTAAAGAAGATGTATAAGATTTATAAACAAATCTCATATAGAGTGACATTTTGCCTCAGAATACTTTAGTGTAGACCTTTTTAAATGCCGATAGTTTGTTTTATTTATTAACTACATACGCTCTGTGGTGAGTAAACCCACCTTCTGTACTCCCAGAGCTGAGTAGTCACCATCTTACTTTCAGGTTGACTTGTTTTAGCTTCCGCGTATGAGAGACAAGTGGCAGTTATTGTACTGTGCTTGGCTCATTTCACTTAGCATAATGCACTCTAATTCAATACATTTTGCTTCAGATAACAATTGGATTATTTTTTTTCCCAGACATTGTTTCTCTGTGTAGCCTTGGTTGTTCTGGACTTGTGTTGTAGACCAGGCTGGCCTTGAACTCACAGAGATCCACCTGCCCCTGCCTCCCCCAGTGCTGGTATTACAGGCATGCACCATGGTGACCAGCCAGAACTTTGTTATTGACAGCTGAATAATACTCTATTGTATATATGTATTTCATTTTATTTTTTTATTCTTAAGCTGACTCAATTATCTTAGTGCTTGTTAATAGCAGGGTATACAGGTATTTCTGTATACTGGTTTAATTTTCTTTGAATATATATAGAAGAGAGAACACATGGCACAACTGTTTCTGAAAATAAGTTATTCAGGATGGCTTTACTAATTTTACATTTCCTATAAGATTATCTATAGTTCCTTTTCCTCCATATCATTGCTACATTAATTAAAAAAAAAAAAACATAGCCACTTGGGACAAATTGGTATATCATTTGACTTGCTGATTATCTGATAGTTAAAGATATTAAATACTTTTTAATTTATATGTTAGCCACTTATATTTCTTTTTTGAAAGCTATTTAGATCATTCGCCTATTTTTAAAAATTAGTTTAGGAAATTCTTTTGAGTAACGTGTAGATTGGATATCAATCCCTTCTAAAATATGTGCTTAAAAAGATTTTTCTCCCACTCTATGGGTCCTCTCTGCAATCTGCTGAGTTTTTCCTTTGCTCAGTAGAAACTTTTTATTTTGATGTAATCTCATTTGCTTATTTTTCCTTTTGCTTTTTGTGGTAGAGATACTTTCTCAAAAGTCCTTCTCTATTTCAGTGTCTTGAAGTGTTCCTCTCTCTCTTTTCTTGTAATGGTTTCAGGTCTTAGATTTAAGGCTTTAGTTCATTTTCTTTTGAGGCAGAGTTTGTCTGTTGTCCTGGAACTCACTTTTGTTAGATCAGGCTAGCCTTGAACTACCAGTGATTCCCTCCTCTGCCTCCCAAGTGCTAGGATTAAAGGTGTGTGCCATCACTGCCAAGCTATTTCTTTTATGTTCTGACAGATGACTCTAGTTTCTTTATTTTGCTTGTGGATACCCAATTTTCCCAGTACCACTTGTTGAGAAGACTGTCCTTCCTACTATATAATGTAGATATGGTATTGTACTTCTAATCTCTCTTGTCTCTTCAGCTGATCTGTTTGTGTTTTAATGTCAATAATGTCCTGTTTTGCTTTTTAAATCTATGTAATTTGTTTTGTTTGTTTTTTGACACAGGGTGTAGTATAGCTCAAGCTGTCATTGAACTCTGTTTAGCTGGGAATGACCTTCAACTCCATCTTATGCCTGGGTATTACAAGCATGGATGACCAATGTTCAACTTTGTTTTTGTGATTTGGAGGCAAAGTCTAGCAATTATCCTGTGCTTACTTTAAACTCACTGTGTGGACCAGGTTGGTCTTGAATTTGCAGTCTTCCTGCCTCAGTCTCCCAAGTGCTAGGATTATAGATGTTTGCCATCATATCAGGTCTCTGACATATCTTGAATTCAGTTATTGTGATGCCAGAACTGGCTATTTTCCTAAATAAGTCTTATTACTATGCTAGGGACTTAACTCTATGGCAGCATGTTTGGTACACACATGTGAGGCCCTGTGTTTGATTCCCAGTACTGAAAAAAAAAACCAACATGAAAATTCAAAACTATATTACCATTGTCATATCTAACAAATATAAGTAATCTTTAACATATTATATATTATAGTATTCATTCATACTTAGTTTCTCCTTAATCTCTTTTAAAAGGGATTTGTTCAAATTAGCATCCAAAATCAGGATACATATTATAGTTGGTTTTACACCTTGTAAAAATGTTTTTTGTTCTTTTCTTTGTTTGTTTGTTTGGTTTTGGTTTTTCTGAGATGAGGTTTCTCTGTTTAATAGTCCTGGCTGTCCTGGACTCTGTTTCTAGACCAGGCTGGCCTTAAACTCACAGAGATCTGCCTGCCTCTGCTTCCTGAGCGCTGGGCATACAGACATGCTTTAAATAATTTTATTGAGCTGTAATTCGTATACTATATGATTCACCCACTGAAAGTGTACAATTTAGATTTTAATATACTTACAAGTTGTATATTCTTAAGTGTGTTCTAATATAGCCTAGTTTTGTCTCCCAATAATCCTTTTATTGTTGTGTATCATTAATTTTTGAAAGGCTGGGATAGGTAGTATATAAAATATCCTGCTTCCTGGACTTGCCTTATTGCTTTCTTTTTATCTGTACCACCAAGATTTCAACAGGATTTTTAGTTCCAGTTCCCTGTCCTTTTTATTTATTCTTCTGTTACTTCATAAACACACACACATACACACATACACAAAATGTAGTTTGATCAGATTTACCTCTTATTCCTTTCCTATTCTTTCGCCTGTTCTCTTAGTCTTCTTCTCACTCCTGCTGAATCCCTTCTCCCCAACAAGTCCCCCTCCTACTTTTTAGTGGTCTGCTGAGTTTAATTAGGGTTGCTTACATGAGCATGGAGGAATGTCATTTACTGGAACATGGGCAGGTTATCAGAAAGTACCCGACTAAAGAAAACGACAGGTTCCCTGAGGCAATTCTCTGGGAGGGGCGGAACTTCATGAGCCTCTTCCCATCCATGATGATGGCTTCCTGTTAGTGCAGGTAACCACAGTTGCTGTGAGTTCATAAACATAAACTGTCATATCATATGCAGAAGATTCATAGCATTCTTCCCCATCTTCATGCTCTTATATTTAGCAATGAGCACTCAGCAGTCACTTTTTCTCAACACTTTGACTTGTTATGAGTCTCTATATTAACCTCTGGCCACTACTCAAAGAAGCTTGTCTCTATAAGGCTAAGAGGAGCATTCATCTATCCTGTTAGTTCTTTATACCTTTCTGCCCTCTGTTATGACAAAATGGTTTAGGCTCATCTTTTTTGTTATTCGAGACAGGGTTTCTCTGTGTAACCATGGCTATCCTGGACTTTGTAGACCAGGCTGGCCTCAAACTCACAGTGATTCGCCTGCCTCTGCCTCCCTGAGTGCTGGGATTACAGCCGTGTGCCACCACTACCAGTTTAAGCTCATCTTAATACCTTTCCTTCCCAAGGCCTGGAGTCAGCCATTTGTCCACAGAATCCTGGGGCTCCTTTTAATGGGAACTGATGATATCTGGCTCTGAAACATAGGCACTGAACTATATTGGTAGTAGTATTTTGTCACTGTTTCTATGCCTCAGTGTGTAGAGCTAGGATACATGTTAAACAAACCAAAACCTCAGGAGTTTAAATGGACGTTTCTGTGTGAAATTTATCTATGCGGGCTTTATGTTTTTTACTCTTAACAGCGAATACTTGGTTTCCAGCAACAGTTACTTGTCCAAGGGTTACAAACTGAAAACTGTTTAGTTGGATATGGGGATTGCTGCTGTATTGTTTGCTCAGGACAATCTGGTGATGTAATGGCGAATGTATTTAAAACCCAATTTAGGGGTCAGTAATGAAATTGTTTTCCTGTTATATAGAAAGCTTGTTTGGAAAAGCGAGTTAAGAATGAAAACTGCCTTAAGTCGTGTGTGGTGGCACATGCTTTTTATAATCTTAACACTTGGAAGGTTGACACAGGCAGATTGTTAGTTTATGGCCAACTTGGGTTAAGTGAGACCTGTTGTTTTTAACAAAATCTCAGTTGTTCGATTTTACCAACTCAGGAGCCAGATGCTGGGGGGAAAGCCTGCTAGCTCAGAGAGGCAGAGAAAACAGACAGCTGACCTTTCTCTTCACCCGATGTCCCAGAAATAATGCCTTCTCTCCTATGCTGTCTCACAAAACCTCCTTCAAACTCAGTGTTCACCCTTTTACTTCCCTCTTTCTCTATAATATGTTTACTTCCTGTCAACTGGTTGTTTGCTCTGCATCAAGTAGAAAGCTCTTGGATTAAAGGTGTGTGCAAAGGCTGAGACACACCACAACTAAAAACAGGTTTTTAGAGTAAATAACACAATCTAACACAATCCCCTAATAGGTTCATCTTACCTCCTGTGCCTAGTGGCTGTCCTAATACTCATTTGCAAAACTGAAGCAATTGCTTCAGGTTTCTCTCCCAGATGATACATTTCAACTTTTCGTTTCAGTTCTTTTGTTTCTTGTTTGCTTTATTTATTTATTTATTTATTTATTTATTTATTTATTTATTTATTTATTTATTCATTCATTCAGTTTACATCATGATCACAGCCCCCCTCCTCTCCTCCCAGTCCCATTGCAACACTCTGTCTCCCTTCCCTTATCTGGCTTCAAAATACATGTGACCAAGGCACATCAAGTCGCAGCAGGATTAAGTATATCCTCTCACACTGAGGCCAGTCAAGGCATACTAGCTAAAGGAATGGGATCCAAAAGCAGGCAGCAGAGTTGTAGACAGCGCCTTGCTCCCATTGTTAGGGGACCCACATGAAGAACAAGCTGCACATCTGCTGCATATGTGTAGCAGCCCTAGGTCCAGCCCATGCATGCTCTTTGGCTCCCTCACTCTTCCCTAAGGCCACCTGA